TCTGGTCCATGGGGTCACGAAGAGCTGGACACAACTAAACAACAACAACAACATGGACATTTGCTAGTGAAGAATTCAAACACTCTGGGAAAATAAATATTGATGGTTGATGGAGCTTCTTTTGCCCTCTCCAATTAGTTGCACAGGTTTCCCAACTTGTCATTTGTATAAGTTAGGAAATTTCTACTAGGAAAGAGGCAGTCTCTATGGCCATTTCATTAGTCACAATATTCTAAAGAAATCTCACTCATCTCTTATTTTTCAGCTGAGACAAGCTGTTGTGACAAAGATAGCATTCCAAGGAATTTCTAGCCCCTGTGGAAATTCTTGGCTCTAGATACCCCAAGAAGACTTTTTCCCCCAATTGTGTTTTGTGCGGTTTATGCAAAATACTCTGGCATTTTTCCCTTTCAGAAGTTAAACACATACATGAACAAGCACAAGACAGGCTAAGTGTTCAGAAAACGCCACATAAATGCAAAAAGCTATCCTATACAATCCATGTAACAGTTAAATTTTGTACATATACAGAAATCTTAGAAATGTGCTAAACTCTGTCTTACAGATATGTAAGTTCTCTCTGAAACAAACAAGTTAATCTTATTGTCTTGTAGATAAAGAAAAAAGCTTTTGTACTTTCTTGTTTGGCATATGAGAATGAGATGAATTCAGATTTGCATCTCTAAGCTCTATTGCATATGCAAAGTTACCTGTGTCTTTCCATACAACATAAAATATTAACTCAACCTTCCATAATTTTGCAACTGCAGGGCTGGCCCTAGCATTAGTTAGAATGAGGAAGCAGAGCCTGAATATTGTGATAAAGCTGGCAATTCACATTTATTTAATTAATTATTGTAGCAAATATTGTAGCAAAAAATCTTCTGTTTCACATGCAAAAGCAAGGTGAATGGCTTTGGTACTCTGCATCTTGAATTTGGTAAGTATGGGAGCTTTCTCTTTATAACTACCAGCCTAAGTGTGTATTGTTGCTTTTTAATGAGGCTGCCATGATTTTGTCATTTTTAATGTGTTTTTAGAACTGTTGTCTCTTACCAGTGTTAATATTACATGTGTTTAATTCTTTTGAATACTGTAATAATTTATTAGCTTTTAATACTTTTTTAATATTTTAAGCCACCTTGTGTCCCCTCAAGGAGAAAAGTGGGGTATAAGTATTTTAAATAAATAATATTTTTTCCTGCTTAGTTTCTAAACCAAAAGAGTTAGTACTGCTGAATCTCCACAAACTGAGATGTACATATCTCAGGGAGTCCCTCTAATTAAAACGGGAAGATAGAATCCTACTTAAAACCTTGTCAGTTTAATGATCAGAACTGCAAAGCATGCTCTTTTCAACCTCAGATGATGACCTTAACTAATGTTGAGAAAACACTCTAGAACTTTAGGCAAAAATTCTCAGTATAAATTTAATCACTAGTCTGAATCCAGCAATAGATTCAGTGGGATGGGACTAGTAACTGGCTTTAGGCCCCAAACCCTAACTAAAATATATGCATTACAGTGCTTTTAAAAGTTGCTAACAAATTAGATAAATTGATTTTTCCCGAAAATATGTTGGATTCTTAAATTATATTTTTAACATAACTTATTGGAAAATCAACAATAGCTCCAATTACACATATATACTGTAAATCACAATAATTTTTCAGAATAATAATTAAAATGAAGTTTATTTTTAAACTATATGAATGCACATTTTAACCTTGAAATAAATGCATTACACAGTTTACTTAGAGCTTATAATATTTATTTTAAGCCCATTTTCTTATAGAATTGGCCTTTGCAAAATCAGATAAGTTTCCCATTTCCTCGCAGATGTGAACACTAAATATATATTACATGACAGTACATGATAATACTTCTGTAAATATTAATGTTACCCAATTTCATACATCTCAAATTTCAGTATTCCTGAATTTTCATTTGTGGGTCTCTGGAAGTGCTCTATATGTCATTCCTTACTGTCATTGTGATTGAATCACCCAGTTTTGCCATTATTGTCCTTGTTCATCAGATCACTCCATGTCATATATCCTTCACTGCTGCTTCAAAGGTCCATGTGTATTATAATTGAATTCTTAGCTTTTTGCTACCCATACTCCAGCAGTTTATTGGTTCACTGGCATCATTAAGATTTAGCACTGTAATAAAGCTCCCATTCTGGGAGCAACACCAGTTTCATGTAAGTAAATACCAAATCTGTGTTCAAGTGTAACCACTGAACTAACTACCTCTGTTTGGAAACTGTTTAGAAGTTGTGCTAAAACAATTCCAAGTAGTGATGTGAATCTCACAGCTTATCACTCTCAGAGGGAAATCCAGGGAGAGGGGGATATATTTTCTTTGTGTAGTGCAATTTCTCTTTGCAAGCTCTCCTCCCCCACACATCTAGAGAAATCTTTCAGGATTACTCAGAAACGTTGTGATCATTTTTTTAAAAAAGATGAAATGCCAAACTGTGCAGGACAATTTAGCATCGCTGGACAGAATGGCATTTTTGTTTCACATTTTCCTGGAAAAAGCAGAAGATTTGCAGGACGGTTATAATTCTGGTTCAGGACAGTTTCCTGTGCAGAAGACTGAGCAGAGAGGGAAAATAAAGGAGAAAGTGTCTTATTTTTATGGGAAACTGAAATGAAATTTTGCGAATGCTTGTCACATCTCTTGTATCAAGATAAATTAAAAGTAAAAAAAACTAACAAACTAGCAAAAAAAAAAACCCCTAGCAAACTAGCAAAAAAAAAAAAACAACTCTTAGTAGACTAATATTAGAAACACCCAAATAAAATAAATGGAAATGAGTGGCATTCAAATTTCCGGTTTTCTAGGAATGACGGAAAGTTGTCATGAAAATTATGATCTATTCATGGGTCCTTTAGTCCAGGGGTCCCCAACTCCTGGTCCACGGCCCAGTAGAGGGCTGTGACCCTGGCAGGACTGGGCCACAGAAACAGATCTAACCCCCTGCATGCCCTTCCCACCCCCTGTGCATGCATGTGAGCGTGCCCCACCCCACAAAGGCACATGCATGCGCTCCACCCCTGTGAGCACCCCCACCCCCATGAGCATGCACCCTGCAAGCACGGGGGTACCCTGCCTCCCCATGCACGGACCCTATCCCAACTGGTCTGCGGTTAGGAAAAAATTGGGGGCCACTGCTTTAGTCCACCCATGAAGTCCCCAAAGTAAATTATTAACCTGTTAGCTTTGCTCCTTTGCATTACCATGATTATCTGAAGGAAGCCATCAACAGCAATGCTGCAGACTATGCACAAAACTCAGATTCTGCTAGAGCTGCAAAATCATTAGCATTCAGTAACAATACAATATTGCATACCAAATAAAATTATTACCCCACTACTCATTTTATATAAGCCT